GTTGCATCATTAGGTGGTAACATTATGACTGGAAGTCCGATATCTGACATGAATCCGATTTTAACAGCTGGTACTGTTAAAATGCTTGTAGCAGGTATGGTGGATGGTCAACTAAAAACCCGATATGTGCACATGGGATCTGGATTTTTTACTGGTTATCGTAAAAATGTTATTGCACCACATGAAGTTTTGATTGGAATTTATTTTCCGAAAACTTTACCAAATCAATATGTAATCGCCTTTAAGCAGGCACGCCGAAGGGATGATGATATTGCTATTGTCAATTCCGCCATAAATGTCTTTTTTAAACCCAACACAAATATTGTGGATCAGATTTTTATGGCATTCGGTGGAATGGCTCCAACAACCATTTTAGCACCACGAACATCTGAAATGATGGTCAAACAAAATTGGGATCACGTGCTTGTAGAACGCGTCACGGAAAGTTTGTGTGCAGAGTTACCATTAGAACCTTCAGCTCCAGGAGGTATGATTGCTTACAGGCGATCTCTAGTAGTCAGTTTGTTTTACAAATCATATTTGGTCATAAGTCAAAAACTAGTAAGTGCCGGCATTATACCATATAACAGTATATCTGATGAGGAATGCAGTGGTGCAGAATCTTTCCACACACCTATATTAAAAAGTGCACAGTTATTTGAACGTGTCAGCTCCGAACAGTCTATATGTGATCCAATCGGTCGACCCAAAGTGCATGCTGCTGCAATGAAGCAAGCAACTGGTGAAGCCATGTATTGCGATGATATTCCACGTATGGAGAATGAGTTGTATTTGGCACTTGTACTTAGTACGAAAGCGCATGCAAAGATTCTTTCCATTGATGCAACAGAAGCATTGGCAATGGATGGAGTGCATGCATTTTACTCTAGTAACGATATTAGTGATAACGAAAATGTTGTAGGGCATGTTATTCGTGACGAAACTATATTTGCTATCGACAAGGTTTATACTGGGGGGCAAGTAATAGGTGCAATTGTTGCAGATAATCAAAAACTTGCTCGGGAAGCTGCTAAGCTTGTACAAATAGACTATGAAGATATATTACCCAGAATTATCACTATTGAACAAGCAATTGAGCATGAATCATATTTTCCTAATTATCCACAAATTTTGGAGAAAGGCGATGTTGATCAAGCTTTTAAGAATTGTGCGCATATTTATGAAGGCACCTGTCGTGTTGGAGCACAGGAACATTTTTACTTAGAGACACATGCTGCAATAGCAGTTACTAGAGATACTGATGAAATTGAGATATTTTCCTCAACACAACATCCTTCCGGAATACAAAAATTAATTTCTCAAGTTTTGTCGGTACCAGCACATAGAGTTGTTTGTCGTGTAAAGCGTTTAGGAGGTGGATTTGGAGGTAAAGAAACACGCTCTACATCGGTAGCAGTACCCGTCGCATTAGCTTGTTATAGATTACGAAGACCCGTGCGCTGTATGCTTGATAGAGATGAGGATATGATGATTACAGGCACACGTCATCCGTTCTTATTCAAATATAAAATTGGTTTTACAAATGAGGGCCTTATTACAGCATGTTATATTGAATGCTATGCAAATGCGGGATGGAGCATGGATGTATCATTTGCTGTAAGTTTTTTTGAAATAACATATGTTGGAAAATTTATAAGGATATGTAATCTTATTATAGGTGCTTGAACATGCTATGGACCATTTTGAAAACTGTTATCGTATACCTAATATAAAAGTAGTCGGATGGTTATGTAAAACTAATACACCTTCAAATACAGCATTTCGTGGATTTGGAGCCCCTCAGGGGATGTTCGCTGGTGAACATATGATTCGTGATGTGGCACGAATTTTGGGAAAGGACTATGTAGATATAATGAAATTAAACTTCTATGAAACTGGTGATATCACGCACTATAACCAAAAATTGGACACGCTGCAAATTAATAGGTTTGTTCTACTATATATTATAATAGGTTTGTACATTAATTAGTAATAATTTAGTAACATTTTTACTAATATTTTTTGTTTTATAATAATTATTTATAATAATTAGCAAAAATGCTATTTTTACTAAACTATTACTAAGAAGTATTAATAAATATATACATATATATTTAAATACATACCGTATCCGTATTTACTTATTAAGTTACTTTTTGTAGATGTTTTGACGAATGTTTAGAGCAATCCAATTTTTATGAAAAACGAAAAAAGATACAAGAATTTAACAAAAGTAATCGCTGGAGAAAGCGTGGTATTAGTATTGTTCCCACAAAGTATGGAATATCATTTGGTATACCACATATAAATCAGGCTGGATGTTTAATAAATATATATGCAGATGGATCAGTCTTATTGGCACATGGTGGTGTAGAAATTGGACAAGGATTACATACAAAAATGATACAATGTACTGCAAAAGCTTTAGGTATACCGGCAGATTTTATTCACATATCCGAATTCGCAACAGATAAGGTTCCCAATGCAACACCTACCGCAGCTAGCGTAAGTTCTGATTTAAATGGTATGGCCATTATTGATGCTTGTGATAAATTAAATACAAGACTTAAAACTATTAAGGAAGCGCTACCCACAGCCACTTGGAAAGAATGGATAAATAAAGCATATTTTGATCGTATAAGTCTTTCAGCAACAGGGTTTTATAGTACGCCAGACATACACTATGATCCTGTGCGTCAACCAAATGCACGCAAATATAATTATTTCACAAACGGTGTGGGTGTAACTGTAGTAGAAATAGATTGTCTAACTGGGGATCATCAGGTTTGGAGCACTGATATTGTTATGGACCTTGGCTCCAGCATTAATCCCGCTATTGATATTGGACAAATAGAAGGGGCTTATATGCAGGGATATGGTTTATTTACTTTAGAAGAGCTAATATATTCACCACAAGGTATATTATTATCAAGAGGTCCAAGCACATATAAAATTGCAGGTTTTGGTAATATACCAGCTGAGTTTAATGTGAGTCTGCTTACTGGTGCACCGAATCCAAGAGCTGTGTACTCATCGAAGGTAGTAATTATAAGTATAGTATAATTATTTTGATCCTGTATAATATTTGTTCATAGGCTGTGGGTGAACCGCCGTTATTTATAGGTGCTGCAGCTTACTTTGCTATTAAGAATGCTATTTCTCATGCACGTACAGAACGAGGTCTGAGCACAGACTTCACACTTAACGCCCCCGCAACAGCAGCAAAAATTAGGATGGCTTGCGAAGACAATTTTACAAAATTGGTATGGATGTCAAAAATGCTTTTAGTTCATGTGCGATATATGCAATATATGTATATCTTTTCTTCTTTCAGATTGATGAACCCTTACCTGGTACATATACACCATGGAATGTTGAATTATAAAGATCTACATATGGATTAGGATTTATTTAGAAATAAGACAAGATTTTAATGCTGTTTTGTTATTATTTATGTCACTGTCATGTGAAAGTGGGAGTACTTGTTGAGTTTATATTATCGGTAAAAGTGTTAACATATATGAATAAAGATAAGGTGTTGGCTTGTTTAGTAAAATTTTGAAGACTACTTTCTTATTAGAATTGTAGATTAAATTAAAAGCTTAGATAGATTTTCTTATTTCATTAGTTAAAGGTGCTGACATATGTTATTTTTACTTTAACATTTAAAGAACTCTTACTTTAAATTATTTTTAACATCATTATAATTTCTAGTATTTGATTCTAGATTAATTTATTTCTAAATTAAGAGTAGTATTTAAATTTATAAATAAGCATGATTACTTACTTATACTAATTGAAATTCCAATTATTGCAGAAAGCATATAGACTATGCATACGGTAGGATCTCTTTAATTCGAATGCCAAGGTACTAGCAAAACTGTTCGATTTATAGAACTATTGACGATTTAGATAGATCAGGGAAAATGTTTATATAGTTTATTACATATCTATTTTCTTACATATGTAGGCATGCGTTTTATAATTACATTCTCCGAAACCCAACAAAATCCATTACTCACATTAAACAGAAATTTCGATGTTCAAAGATTCGCTTCAGAATGTGGAGGTAAAGGATGGTGAAAATCGATACTAATTATATTAAATAGGGTTTATGATTTGAATTGTAGAGGTAATGGATGCTTTTGCAAAATATCTATTGTCAAATTATGTATTTTCGAAATTGTTTTAATCATAAAGGAGAACACTTCGAGAAACATTTGTTATTAAACTCAAAATATAAATAGTGACCCTCGTAACGTAATACGATTATTACATTTTATGCATCACAAGAAAACGATATCTGTTGTGTTGGTGGGACGTTAAAAATCAATCAAGTTTTGGACAGCAGCTATTATTTAATTTTCAATTTAATTTCGAAAAATGGGTGGAAATAGAAGGACCCTTCTTATTGCATTGAGGGTAACAGTGAAATTCTTAATGAGATCTAATAATTGAGTAACATGGCAATTCTATTGACTGGCAATTTTTGATAGTTAGTTCTTCTAGTTGTGCTTCGATTAATATATGTATAATAAAGTTTAAATTGGTAAAGTACAAAGAGATATTTTTAATTCAATATACAGGCCACAATAATCTATATAATAAAGTAAAGGTGCTGACGGATACCAATTTCAACAAACCATACATACATATATATTTGCATACTCAGTTTTTTTGACTACTTTGGCGCTGATAAGATTATCGGCGCTCTACGAAATAAGTTCTTCTACCGTTATTATGTATCTACATAATCATAATGTTTTGGGAGGTCTAAGGCGTTAGTTGGGTGAATCGCGTGAAGACTATAATTTAAAGAGTAAAATAAAAATAAAGAGGCATGTATTGTACAAAAACATACGAAATAAGTCGTTATGGTGTTTATCAATTATAAATAACAATTAAAAACAATTTATGTTAGTGTGGAAATATTTTAATACAAAAATAGAAAATAAAATAAAAAAAAATTAAAGAATATTGGTCAAAAAAAAAAATTTGAAATGGATCAAAAGATTGAATCGAGTGAATTAAACACTGGGAAGAATGTGAGAACAAAAACATCATCGGTGCTAATATTTTTTGTAAATGGAAAAAAGGTAAATTATTAACGATATTTAATTTTGTTTAATGATTTTCGAAATGATCAAATCCAGATTTTTTAGTAATAGCCACTGGTTATTAATTTATCCAATTATTTTTGCAAAGGAAATTCAAACATTTTCTCGGCTGAAGCTTAAACTGCTTGGTTTACTACAGGACCATCATTCTAACAGGGGAGACTATACAGCGCCGGAAAACTACAACTATCATCACAGCTAAACAGCCAATCAGCATACTGTGCGAGATTCGTAGGAAAGTGTATTCCTTTGATCGACGTAATAGACTTAAATTCTTTGACTGGAGACTTAGTTTCATCCCAACTATCAACAGAGACAGCAGCACTCACTTCACTTCACGCTGCAACCATCAACCTTCAAAAATGCCGATTTCTGCCTATCCACAGTTGCAGACGTGTCCTTAGCACCTTTCTATAATATAACAAAAAAATTTCTTAATGCGTCAAACCAGCCGTTTCACTGCTTTAACGCAGCTCGAAGCCATTCACGCGCAGATATGTATGACTATGACTGTACTTAATGAAATCACTGGACACATATACTAGTTGCTGTCCATGCTTGATATTATTGCGACATTTCACGTCCGCAAGAGCCATACGTAATGCCGCTGCAAATTCCGTCTTACCCTGTTTCTGCTTAAATTTCACCATAAACTGAGCCAGAATAAACAAAGCATCACTACATACTATTAATCCCACTAACAAAAATGAAATAGTATGTGTTCAATTATTAAAAATACAACGCTTCAAAGCCGTTGTATGCCAGTACGTAATCCCCAACAAACTAAATGTGGCGACTAAATTTATCTTTGACGGCTTTAAACCTTCTTCTTACCGTTAAACGCTCTCGGAATGACTTAAATGTCGACTCAGGTGATAATAAGAAAACTATTGGAACTTACAGAACTTTTAATTAAAATCAAGAAAACTCTATGCTGCATTCTACGCGGCTCAACAAAACTGAAGATGTGCTTAATTTTTTTAAATTCCCTTTACCGAAGAGGCTTTCGGTAAGCGAGCGCCTTATCATTTAACCCCGTAAGATATCAGCATCGATCAACACCACGTGCAATCTGTGATTGCGTACGGCTGCCACTCCTTACAGACCAACTGCTCTTTAATGTGTCTAAATCACCCAAAGTAAGCAGTTCAGATACAGTTCAAGGTGCTCTTACCTGTTTCTCATCATAGCTACCTCACTCAAACCAATCCTTGAGAACATTGATCTGCCAGCTTGGCTAACTCCTAAAGGTATACATCAGAAGATTTCCAAATAGAATGTACCTCTGGCGAAAGCCACTTAAGATACTTAAAACAAATATACTTCAATAATCCGTCACCTTAGCAGCTCACTTAACAGTTGTGATATTTCCAAGCTCAACTTCACCATATTGCTCAACAGTTAATAACGATTATTAACAATTTATTAACTGTAGAGCTTGTAACATAGTATCCGTATCTTCATAGGTAACCGATCCAAAAAACAATTCTGTACCACCACACCCCTGCACTATTATGCATCATTATTCGATGTCGACATTTTTGCAGTCTCTTATAAATTTTTAAAAAATTTATGCATCTTCACTAAAATTAATTTTGCTTTCTTAATCAATCAATTTTCAATAGCTTTTTTTGCTATTCGTCGAGTAAAAAAAAATCAATTAATAGTTTCTAAATGGTATACACTTAAAATCAATTAATATGTATTTGCAGGTAATTGACGCCAATCCAGATCCTGAGTGTACGCTTCTTACTTATCTTCGTGATAAACTGTATTTATGTGGTACGAAATTAGGTTGCGGAGAAGGAGGATGTGGTGCATGTACCGTTATGATATCACGCATTGATCGAAACACAAATGAGATTCGACATTTGGCAGTCAATGCCTGTCTTACGCCAGTATGCGCAATGCACGGTTATGCCGTAACTACTGTTGAAGGTATCGGTAGTACGAGAACACGTCTTCATCCTGTACAGGAACGAATAGCTAAAGCGCATGGCAGCCAATGTGGTTTCT